TAGAGACGGGATTTCACCATGTTGGTCAGGTTGGTCTCAAACTCCTGACCTCGTGATCTGCCCACCTTGGCCTCCCAAAGTGCTGGGATTACAGGCATGAGACACTGCACATGGCCAATCAATGCTTCTTAATAGTAAGATTTATTTTAAAATTTGGATTGGGGTTATAAGACTTTTAGTAGTCTTGGATATTACCGTCTTTATCCTGAATGAAAGTGTAGCAAGAGGCTGGGCACAGTGCCTCACGCCTATAATCCCAGCACTTTGGGAGGCTGAGGCCAGAGGATCCTTTGAGCCCAGGAGACCAGCCTGGGCAACAAAGCAAGACCCTGTCTGTATTAAAATTACAAAAGTGTGGTAAGGATCATTTCCTCATTAACCTTGAACATCCAAACACAAACCATCAAAAAGAATCAACTTCAGAAAGCCATTATTGCTTTATTGGTTATGGTGATTAAAAGAAGGGGGCCCCTCGGGTCACAAAGATAATTAACTGATTTGTCACAAACCATATTGAAACTCTTTTTTAAAAAGGGTATAGATAACTTTGTAATTTACAATTTTAACAGTCAAATTAGCCAAGAGTAGAGTTTACAATAGGACTAGAAAATACTCCAGTGGCTCACATATAAGTGGGTTAATTTTATCTATTTTTAGGCCTCCTAGGCCTATCAGTCTGGATTTTCCATTACTTGGAAATGGGGGCTGAGGAACAGATGCTTCTGGCCACTCTGAGCCCTGGCTTGATCCTTGGGACTCATCTCTCTCTCTCTCCCTGTTTGTGCGTCACCTCACAGCGGATACCTGGCTCTTATCTCAGGACCTGACCTCCCACTGAGCTCCAAGCCTGCAAAGCATGCTGCCACCCAGGTATTTCCCCCTTAACATCCTGCCATCACTTCAGATGTAATACCCCTATGCCAAAAAATCACTGACTCCTAATTTCACTTTTGTCGGTGGCACCAGTTTCATTCTCTTGGACACCTAAGCTTAAAAACGGTGGAACTTCTTTTGAATCATCCCTCTCCTTCCTTCCCTAGAAGTGAGCTACCATCAGTCACCCGGGAAATGCAAATTAAAACCACAGTGAGTGCCCTTATGCACCCACTAAAATCAAGCAGACCGATGATGCTAATTGTTGCTGAGGATATGGAGTCTCACACGTTTGCTGGGGAAATGTAAAATGGCCTGGGCACTTTGGAAACCAGTTTCGGTTAACAGTAAATTAAATGTACACTTACCACATGACTCAATAATTCTACTCTTAGGATTTACCCAAGGAAAATAAAAACGTATGTCCACACAAAGACTTTTTCACAAATGTGCATATCAGCTTTATTCATAATAGGCATAAGCTAGAAACATTCAAATGTCCATCAATGGGTGGAAGAATAAACAAAGTGTAGTTTACCCATGTAACAGAATACTAGCAACAAAGAGGAGCTGCTGTTACCTGCAAGCAATGGATGAATCTCAAAATTATGTTAAACCAGAGAAGCCAGACACAAGAGAATGCATAATATATGATTCAATTTCTGTGAAATTCTATTTCTACAAAAAGCAAAACTTATTAATAGGGGCAGAAAGTAGACCAGTGGTTCTCTGCGGCTGGGTCAGGGAGAGAGCAGCTGACTGCACAGAGCATGAGAGGGTGATGGCAAAGTTCATTCACATCCTGAATGTGGTGATGGTTATGCCCATGTATATATTCACCAAAACCCAGCAACCTGGACACTTAAAATGGGTGTGTTTTATATATAACTTATACTTCAGTAAGGTGTCGACACAGATAGGCTAAGCTTTTTCAGAGATGTAACACAGGTAGACAGGAGTATCAGTGCTGACTGGCCAACTATCTTTACAAGATTTTATTAAGCTATAAATAAAATGGAATTGAAATAGCCAGGATTTACCGTGTACTTACTATGTGACAGGTGCCATTCTAAGAGTTTCCACATACTGGTTAGACCTCACTACACCTCTCCAGGACACTAACGATTACCCCATTTTACAGATGAAGAAACTGAGGCATAGAAAGGTTAAATAATTTTAAAACGCCATACATCTGGTAAAAACATTTTTGGCTCCGGGGAGCTTCCTCTTTACTACTACGCCACAATACTTCTCATTAGGACAATTTTGAAATAGACACACCCCTTCCTCCATAATTTCATCTCTACAAAAAATATTTTCACATTTGCATATTTTATTCAGGCTTTGCCAACATGCATACGCATTTTAACTACTCCATAATCATAGTTTAGAGACAGAGCAAGAGGAAGCCATTCCAAGCAACAGATGAGTCTAATTTTGCTCTCTGAAAGATAATACATTTTTTTAACTTATGAACATTTCTCATTCATTCATATTCTTTCATAATGATCTATTTTAATGGCTTTTTTTGTTTGAAATACCATGTATATTGTATTAATTTCCTTTATTATTGGAATAGATCATTAGTAGAGATAATGCTGTAATGAGCATCTTCATGGAATGCACAGAGCTTAGTTATTTCCCCTGTGGAATCTTTTTTATTTTTATTTTTTGAGACGGAGTCTCGGTCTGTTGCCCAGGCTGGAGTGCAGTGGCGCAATCTCGGCTCACTGCAAGCTCCGCCTCCCGGGTTCCAGCCATTCTCCTGCCTCAGCCTCC